AACAAAAGACTATTGATCATATCTTTAAATGTTCTGTTTTTTTCGTTCTGCAACCCCATTAGACTGAGGAGAATATGGAGGAGTTTCTTCATGAATTATGCCAAAATTTCGACAATATTCACCAAAGGGGTTAGATTCATATTCTCCACCTTTGTCTGATCTTAACCTTTTAAGTTTCTTACCTGTTTGTGTTTCAGCTTCATTTTTAAAAATAATAAATTTCTCAAGTGCTTCATCTTTATGTTTAATTAGATAAACATAACAATACTACTATAATCATCTATAAAAGTAATAAAGTATCGTTTAAGGTCTTTAGTAACAATTCCATTGAACTCACAAATATCAGTGTGTACTAAATCAAGTAATTCAGAATGCCTTTCTATCGAATGATAAGGTTTTCTTACTTGTTTTGCTTCAACACATACTTGACATTTGTGATTTCGTTCAACTTCATGTTTTGGAATTAAATTAAGATTCATCATTCTCTTAATAGAATCATAATTTAAATTACCCAAACGCTTATGCCATACAGAAGAACTTTCTGTAACATTCATAACAATAGAATCTGCAAAATCAAATTTATTACCAGAACCAACATAATCAACACGAATTTTAAAAAGACCATAAGACAAATAGCCCTTGCCAATAAATAAATTATAATGTTGAATAACAACTTTATTCAATTTAAACGAAAGCTCATAACCCTCTTGGACTAACATAGAACCACTAATAATATTTCTCCGTATTGTTGGGACATGGTGCACCCTCTGTAGAGATAAAATGTGCCCTGAAGGAAACTTCAAGTCCACGCATCCTACCCCAAACACCTTGGCCGCACTTGAGTTTTCCATCGCTACGGATTTTCCATTAATTGGCTGATAAGACACAAAAAGCAATTTATCAGCACAAATGTGCACATTTGCTCCAGTATCTATTAACCAATCAAACGGTTCATAGACATTTAAAAGCTCAGGTTGTAAAGAAACAAACCCATCAATAGTTGTCTCTGGAGCACTAGCATTGCCAGGTTCCCCAACAACCATATTTTCCACAGGTTGTTCAGCGGGTCCAGGTTTGACCTTAGCTTTCTTTGTCGGACAATCTTTAATCCATTGTCCAACATGTCCACAGTTCCAACATGGTTTGTTTGCTTTGGGTTTCTTCTTTTTAGCCTTAGCCTTGTCTTTATTGGCCATTTTCACATTTGCATGGTTCATTTTTCTTTTTCTCATTATCATATTAGCCTTAGGTTTAAATGGCACATTATGAACTTTTTTTTCGATGTTGTTCTTCTATGTTGATTGATATCATTAAATCATCCAAGGTCAACTTCCCTTTCTGATGCTTCAACGACATTCCAAAACTTTCCCAAGACTTTGGAAATTTATCAATAATTGACATAACCCAAAACTTTTCAGGAAGTTTCATATCAGCATCAGCGAGGGAATGTTCCAAGTTGATCAATTCATGTGTCTGCTCAGATACAAACTTTCCTTCAGCCATCTGATATTTTAGGAACTTAGAAACATAATACTTTTCGAGACCTTGCTCTTCAGTATTATATTTCTTGTCCAACTCATCCCACAACAAATTTGCAGTGTACGGATCAGAACAATAAACATCAAATAGCGTATTTGACAAAGCTGACAAAATAGCTCCTCGAACAATTTGATCTCTTTCGTTCCACTGAGCAATTTCAGTAGTTTTGGGATCATTATCAGTTGGTTCAGGCCTAGCCACCTGAATTATCGTCAAAAGTCCTTTCATGTAAGCCAAATTTTCATTCGTTGTTGCCAACGTTTGAAAAATTGCCCCGAAAATTTTCCCGGTAAGCCGGATAAATCGACTTTTGAATTCAACGTAGCATTGACTGATATGGTGCCAGAACCACTTGCCATAATAATAAAAAATAGTGAAACAAATACGTATAACACTTTTGAAAAAATCTCGTTTTAATCACAAAATCTATTTCTTCAAGATTGTTGGAAAAATAAATTGTAAAAGGCGAATTAAGAACGAGTTTAAACACATATACGTATTTAGAATTTGAAAATAGAAACCACAAACATCAACCACGGGAATGTGAGATGAAACTAGATTTCTATTAGTAAATAAATAAGTTTAATATTAAAAATAAATAACTTAACTGACAGTTCTATATAGTCATAGAACACATATAGCCGAATCATAGAAATAATCTGTTTGCCTTGAAGAAACAGACGCCCCGATACTGTGCAGCGAGTATTACGCCTTTTCTCCCAGGATAAGACGGCTCAAGTGTGAAGACTGCACTATCTAACACATTCACCTCGATCAGAAGCTCAGTCGCCAAGAACCCTTAATTATTCTTAGACTTGTAGATGATGAAAGAGATTATGTATATAAAAGATGATCCTTTTTCTTTTCTTCTCTTGGTGTGTTCTCCTGTAGGCTTGCATGTACACTATTTATAGTGTTACAAAGTCTTCAAATTCAATGCATGCATTTAATGAAGTGGATATGTCTTAATGCCTTCATTAAAACAAAAGTAATGAAACTTTGAGTTTCATCACACTTTTCATCTCACAATTCAAAACCAAACACGGTTATGTTTTCTCCACAATGAATTTGGACAATACATTAGTAACATTAAACACACCATTATATCTAAGGATTCCCACATAATACAATCATCTTTTCTCATGTAATGTTTATTACAACAGTGCTTACGATAGTAAAGTGCACGTGTGATGCACTCGATAATAAAACATTTTTTTTTTCTTGATTCATGTCATTACGATAATGAGATAAAATGAAGGATTAGTGTATATAGTAAAGTTTAAATAGAATAATATAGTGAGTTCGTAAAATACAGAGACTAAAATACCATGTTAATATCCGAAGTAAACTAACTGAAAAAAAATGTGGTTTTCATGTCACTTTGTGTCACAAACGGTATTTGAACGCCTACGACTCGAATGGTCCTCGTCCTTGAGCTTCGATGACCTGCAACATACCGGAGGAGGTCTCGGCGAAAAAATCTCCGATGCTCAAGTCAAAACTCACTCAAACTGTATATATTGTATGTAAGTAAAAGACGTAGAATGTGATGATAGATGAAGAAGAACCGATCGCAGCCTTTATCTAGGACATATATCTTGGAGCGAAAGAATATAGTTGTTAGGGAAGAGATCAAACTAGATCACACTTCTCTATCTTACAAAGTCTCTATCTAAGAAAGACTTTGAGCGAGCGACTTTTTTCTTCTTACAAGAATTTTTTTCCCCTCTAGTGTTTTAGCCTGTGGGTCATTTGGTCGTAACTCCGACCTCCCGACTTATCTGCTATGGCCTACCCGAGGGCGAATCAGACCTCGTCTCAAGGTCTAACCCAACCTCATCCTGAAGTTTATCCTGTCTTCGGACTACCGGACCTAGGGGTGTGCAAAATTCGACTGAAATCGACCGAACCGACTGAAACCGACCGAACTGACAATTTTCGGTTTGGTTTTTGTACGACTCGGTCGGTAGTCGGTTTTCAATTTGTAATTTTTCGTTTATTTCGGTCGGTGTTGGATTTCGGACACAATGTCCGAAATAACCGAACCAATCGAATAATATATATAATATCATATTATATAATTATAAATTTATAATACAATATTAATATATAAATTTATAATATAATATTAATTTATAAATTTACAATATTATAAAGAAATGTTATTTTTTTTATAAAAATTCAGTTAACCGACCGAACCGACCGAATAATTCAGTTCAGTTAAACTTCGGTTTTAGGCACTTAATTCGGTCGGTTCGGTTTCTAAAATTAACAATTCGGTTAATTCGGTTTACGTAGTTCGGTTAGGTCGATCAACCGAACCGACCGCTGAACACCCCTAACCGGACCTCAGTACTTCAAGGTCGGCTACTATGTCGGGCTCCAGGAGGTTGGTACCCCCAAGTCATATCTTTCTGGTTGTCCAATACCTTAAACTCGTATACGAGCTACTTGACCAGGTATCTTACTTTTGTATATGCAAGAGCTCTCCCTGTCCGGCCTAGCTGAGCTACCTGCTCAATTCGGTATGCCGAGTTATTCTAAGTGCTACACCATCTATAATGCAAAGAAAGCTATGGAATTAAATAAAGACCTAACATATATTATAGATGTATCATTTCTTCTATTTCTTTATGGCGATTGGAGGAGAAGTTGTTTTATTTTTCTTCATTTTCTAAACTTCTCCTCGCACATTTCTTATTATCTCATTATCTTCAGACCCCGTGGTGATCACCACCACCTGCACCTCACATATCGTCGTCATAGGGATGATTTCTTGTAAGTACAACTTTGCTGTTACAATAATATCAAATATAAGGACATGTCCATACATTTTCTTTTATACAAGACCACTCATTTTATAGTAATAAACTAGGTAGATAAATAGATATAGATTACCATATAAAGAGAGTAATCGCAGTAGCAACCATATCATCTAAGTTCGAAAGCGTAATTAGGTAATAGTATTCTACTGTACACCTACTTTTCTGTGTCTAACAACGCAACATGTACTAATGGTGAGTTAAAATTGTTGAAGATCTGCGAGTTTTTTAAGATTCGATCATGCACATGCTTATTGTACTCCAAGGTTCTTCTGCTCATGACCGGGTGGGATGAGAAGGGAGGTGAGGTGAAGTTAAGTAGATGGTACCTGTTTCGCTGCATACTCTCATTATTGCAGCCAATAGTAAAGACGGCAAGAGCGTAACTTCCCTTGAAGAATTTACGGGTTGTTGAACTGACCAAAAGTACATTAATATGCAGTTTGTTCGAATAGAAACCATCAGGTTGTGCATCCAACGGCATGAGTACAAGCAAGAATGGCGATTGAATAATATTAACAATCATGAGAGTGCACACAAGTGATTGCACTTCCGGGTTTTGTACATAAAATAGACGAATAATATACTTATTCACAAAAGGAACCCGCGATTATGGTTAGGAAGGGATTAGCCAACTATCTACAGGAAGTCCCATTGCCGATAAACCTTGTCCACAATCCCACCCCCACTCCTAACCGCAAAGTGAAGAGTCTCTGAAGCCGGTGGGACCCCCCAAAGCAACGGCACTGCAACAGTCATTTTTAGCTTTTCGTGCAAACCCTCCTTCGTCGCCTTCTCGGCTGTCACAACCTGTAAACTCAAATCAGAAACTCTTACAATGCAGTGAATTATGAGTCTATGACATATTTCACGTTATAAAAACTCTAGATTAGAAAGTTCTTTTTTGCGCTATAATCTTCGTGAGCTATGAACAACATGCCGTATTTCAACATAATATGATTATATATCCAACTTTGTTAATGACAATAATCAATCATAGATAGAACAACATAAGTGGCAATTCAGATGATCCAAATTAAGCATTTTTTTTAGTGATGAGTAAATCATAGCCCTCCAAATATGTTAACAGATTAATTTTTCAAACATATAAACTACCTCTCCACCATGCTCCAAAACAGTGTCCTCCACGACATCGCAAAGCATCTCAATCGAGCGGCAGAAGCCAAAAATACAGAGACGCCTACCCATATCAAGACCCTATATCGAACAATTTCAACAAAAAAAAAAATAAAAAAATAAAAATAAAATAAAAAAATATTAGGAAATTGTTCACACGGGTGGAAGTCTATTCATAGTATTAATAAAAATCTTTACGTTAGTTGCTGCAATGTCAAAAAGTGCACCCAAGCATAGGCTTTGATTTGGATCCATGTAATTGCTCTCTTGAAACCGTAGAGATCTTTGAGATACTTTCGCCTTCCCTTGTTTCTTCTGCACGGTTCAGTACAAAATGTATTTAGAAATAGGGAGTGAGACTACTGCCAACAAAATTAAGATAGAAGATAATCAAAATAGAAAAGGATAATCCAATAGTTCGTAAATAGATTTATAAGCATCACCATCACACAATTGGTACTTTCATGCCTGAAATGACATCACAAAAAGTGGTCAAACCGGTTAGAAACCAAGGAAGTTCATATTTTATGAAAAAATCAAACGTGGGAAAAAAAAACACAAGAAAAATTCTGAGGAAACCGCAAAATTTCAAGTATGTTCTGAAATACTGGAAAACAAAATGCAAGAACAAAGCAAATGACTGGTGAATATGCACGTCGCTTGGCATTTGAAAAAGAAAAAAAGAAAATACAACAACAGTATCAGCATTACGGGTTTGCTAAATGCAAAAGGATACTCGAAACTCTATACAATTTGATTTCCTAATCTAGCATTTCACATTGCAAAGAGGGGCCTGCTAGGCCCATAATATCTCCATGGATAACACTATCCGCCACATCTCTAATGTATTAACAGCACCAAGCTATTATAATCTTCACAGACATGAAGGGATCAAAATTGAATAGCATTAAACATAGCCAGAAAAATAATAAAAAAAAAAGATTAACATACGTCGGCCGAAGAAACCCGACGCGGAACAAGATTCCCGCCAATTTGGATCAGACCATCACAAGTAAACAATGTCACTCTGTCCTCTGAAACCCACTGCACATCTACAAAACAAGCGAAAAACAGACATGAAAAAATGTCAAACGATCAGAAGGAAATGTTTTTAGCTCCAAATTTCCCCCAAAACCCTAAGCTAATGAACTCAACATATACACCACAATAGTTCCAACTTAAGAGAGGATCAATCAAACCAACCCATCATCTCAGAACACAAAAACAACCAAAAAAATAAATGGGAAATACAAGAAAACAAGCAGCAGCGCAAATAATTACAAGATTCAGCTGCATCCAGATTTTCCCACGGGTAGAGCCCGAAATCGTCATCTCCGGGGAAATGGGCCGACCCGGATGCTTTCAAGGAGAACCCTAGCGGCGGCGATCGGCGTCGATCGAGCTGCGAGGGGAATCTGCGCGAAGCAAAAGAGAAGGTCGGGGGAGACGATAACGGCGACTCCTTAGCGAAAGGGATCGAGCTGGAGAAGGCGGAAAAGCAGAGGGCCGAGGTGGGTTCAGCCATTGATCGATTTTTGGCAGGAAAATTAACAAAACAAAAAAGTATCACCAATTATGGGGAAAATGAGAGGCATGCGAGAGAGATGAAGTTGATAAAAATGGCGTCTTTGAAGGATAGAATAATGAAAAAGAGGACCGTCTTTTTTCTCCTCTTTGGATGCACAAAAATGTTGGAAAAGCGATGGCCACATATTTAGGGGAAAAAACAGACGGTTTATTTACGGCTTGAGGAATAGACGAACCCGGTTTAAAACGGTTCATCGGTTGGTCCCTATGCGTGTTTTTCCGCATTTTTGGCAGCTCCCATATTCTTATTTTTTGTTGTTCCCACTATTTTATTAATCCTTGTGATGCATGAGTAAGTGATATTTTTCAGTATTTATAAATATAGCAGAATCAAGCAAGGTACAAGCTGAGATTGTGGGAATGAGAGGCAGATTGTGGAAGTTGAAAATTAAAGGCAAGATCAAACACTTTATCTGGAAGTGTGTTAATAACATATTGCCAGTCAGCTTATGCATTGCTAAGAGAGGAGTGTCTATTGATACCAGATGCCAAGTTTGTGGGGAAGAGTAGGAAACTTTAAATCATTTGTTCTTTGATTGTCCTAAGAGTGCCAGAATTTGGAAGCTTGCCCCTATCCAGTGGGATGGCTTGAGTCTTCATGCTGAAAGCTTTTCTCATTGGTAGGCAAAAATATGTTCACTCCCACTGACAGCAAATAATGAAGCAAGGATCCAGCTGACTGCCTACTTGCTTTGGTGGGTTTGGAAAGCTAGGAATTTGTGAGTGTTCCAGAGGCTGTGGAGAGCTGAGATGGCTGTGGTGAACATAGCTTTGGAGGAGTGGTTGGAATACAATAAGGTGCAAGGTCTTGAGTACTGATTTGGCTGTGGGGATTTTGCTTAGTTGCTGTCTCTCTGATGTTTAGGTTGTTGTTCTTTTGGTTTTGTTGTACAGTTTTTAGCAGTTGGTTTCCTTCTTTTGTGTGGTTGACTTGTTTTGTAGTATTTCAACTTGACTAGGGTGTGAGCCAGTGGTGAGGTTGTTTTTTGTGTTTTGCATAGATGGGAGCAATTCCTTGTGTCCTAAGTTTGCATTAGTTAAGGAATTGGTCTCGTCTATGTGCTGTTTTCTTTTTTTAGAACAGGTTGTTCTCTCTTCCAACTGGTTGGTTGTGTATTGGGCTATTTAGCCCCACCTCATGTACAAATGAGCTATAAATCCTATCATTTTAGAAAAAAAAAAATAAATAATATTTATAAATTAATAATAAAGAATCAATATGTAATAAAGTTTACTTATGTTAATTACGTGAAAATGTTATATAATTTTTAAACTGTGCAAAATTACATAAAATATATTTATTTAAAATTAGCACACAACTTGTACGGTGCACGTAATTGATAATAAATTATATTATATTTATTTAAAATAATTGTCATTTTAAAAATTTTATTTTGAATTTCGATTGGACTACAATGTGATTCCATAAAATAACTATTTCGGTAAAATTTTATCATATATTTAAAAATCTATGTGAATATAAGTATAATTATAAAACTTATTACATTAATTAAAATAGTTTTATCTTTGTATAAAATATACCAATAAAAAAATATAAATAGTTGAGTAATTTATTAAACTATAAATAATTGACTATTTCATTTAAGTTCAAGTTAACATTGACCAGTAAGTTATGAATAATTATTTATATGACTTTTAAATTTGAAACCCAAAATTGGACTACACAATAAATTTCATCATCTAGAATTCTCTGCGTGAATGGTGACCTTGAGCTCTCTCTGGCTTCTTTCGTTCCATCTTGGCTTCCAACTATTTCAGTTGCTCGGCCGTCCTCTCCACCTCACTATCTGCACTTCCACCAAAGCTGCTTGACATCTCAACCTCCGTATCTTTCTTCGTGGTTGTGGTTATAGTAACCGCATTGGACAGCTACTGCTAAGTGCTACTTGCCCCCACGGTGTTAGCAATCATCCTACTCAGCTCCTCTTTCATTATCGTGATAGCTGTTGACATGTTGGCTCTACTGTACTCCTTGGTGTTCCCATTGGCAAGACTGCAGCTAGATCTGGCTACATCTATGGTGGAACCATGACCACCTGGCTCGATCTGACCTTTGGTGGGTTGCTCTAGCCCGTTGCTTCAACAGGGATCACCAATGAGCTCCATAAGCCCATAGGATGAGACATCAGATTCATCGGGGCCTGAGATGGCTCGGAGAATCTTGGTTAAGGGTCTGCTCCGAGCGGACGCGTGGTCGTCCACGCATCAGTAAAAGTCGGCTCTAGATTTTTTCTAGGAATATCGCTCTCCGTGGTTGAATCTCACAGATGGCTTTTTGAACGTTATCACAGGCGGCCCCAAATGGTATGTAAAAAACCTAAGACCGCTTGGTTCATCCTGGATTGTCTTCCTTGCCAGTTGATGACCCTCAATACCTGTAAAAACTCAACGCCTGAGCGGTTTTACATTTTAGAGTCTCTAATGCTTAAGTCAGAACGTGAATGAAGACATGAACAATATGTAAAGCTTTGTAAATATAGAAATGTACAAATAGTGTGTAGAGTTTGGATTGTCATACCCCACCCGTGTATATAGGGGCGGTGTGTTATTGCCCAAGCCTGCCCAAATGAGCTTCCCAATTGCCAGAACTGCCCCCATTCGCACTGCCTGGGTGTCTGAACTACCCATTTATGTTAGGCCACGTGGTCTAATCCACGTGTGGTTCTTATTCTAATAATATTCACTAATATCTCTCAGTCTTTCTCATTAGATGATCTAATCATGCGACTAATCTGATTCACCTCGAGGTAGAACATCTTCTTCATTGAGCCCATGCTATGTCCGTCAGGTTGACCTATCGATCCATCTATCTTCAGGTCGAGTTTCCAGCAGGTCTTCCGAGGGCTTTAACTCGAGATGCTGGTGATCCATCTTGACTTTGCACCTCGAACCTACTGTATTTCCGACCTCCTTGACCTTCAGCCTCCGATCGACCTGGTGGTGCATCTGGTTCAGCAGATCTGCTTCCCGGTCAACTCGACCTAGTACGATATCCTTATCAGCACCTATAATAGCTTGGGGAATCGGTCTGAGTGGTTAGCTCGTGGCTGACCTGTTTAGGATAGCTGTAGCTCGGTGCCAAGGTTTGACTTCATCAGGGAACTCGGAGTTGTAGCTCAGGACGCGAGTCGACTTGAACAATAAAGTGAGCAACTGAATCTTCAGAGAGCTCGGCCAGATGAGAGGTCATTACAACATACATGTCGTGCAACAAAAGGTCGTGCCAGCGACCTAGAGAAGACACGTGGCTGATTAGGTCACGACGATGGTGTGACGACCTAAGGACTTAAGAGTCGTGTTAGGAAAATAAAGAGAATCATAGTAAGGATGATAAGTATATCTCCCTAAGGAGTCAAAAATCTCAGAGACATGTAATACTAGGAAACGAGATACAGTAGAATATATTTCTTAGTAATGAGGTGACTTGGATGATGACAATCTCCCTATAAAAGAAAGTTAACAGGTTCTACTATTACTTAAAGAATATTACACTTTATAATACAATATGTTTTCAAAATTCACGACCGAGGTCTAATTTGAGCGTCAGAGGTTTTTCGCCAGAACTCCTCCCCGGTGTGTCACCAAAGCTCAAGGTGTAGGGCAGTTCATAATTTTGCAGCTCTAAATCCAATTCGAAGGCAATTTGCATATCAAATGTTAAGGCTCATTTACATACTTACCTTAGTGACTGCTAAATATTTGTAAAAATACTAACTACAAATTTTATTTGTAAGCATACCTAATTGACCATAAAAATTTATATTAATAATAGATTGTGTAACGGATAGAGAGAGAGAAGATTTTGACAACCCTTTGGATGATCCCTTGACTTAGGGGATTCTTCCATAAATACACATAAAACTATATGATAAGTTAGATGGAAAATTTAGTTGAAGATAGATTCTAAAAAGCAATATTTTCAATTTTGAATAAAAAAGAGTGAACTATATTATTGAAGAAGAAAAAAAACTAAATAATATATTTCAGATCAAAATCAATCTGCTTTCAAAGTATATAATTTGTTTTATATACTGTAAATATATTCTATTTGTTTTATATACTGGAAATATACACGATAATATCTTAAAGTATATAATATATTTTATATACTCGAAATATACACGATAATATCTTAAAATATATGATTTGTTTTGTATACTGAAAATAATAAGAATATATACCCAATAAATATACCATTTAAAATTCCTTGCTTTCTTGGGAAAATGATTTAAAGACATCATAAAGTATACAAATTGTTTTCAAAACTATACAAATTGTTTCAAATTGACTGATGCTTGCTAAAGATATATTGCATAAATAAAAACAACACATATACCAAACAGAAAAAGTACTCAAAAATTAAAAAATAAACACAAATAAAATAAAACAAAAAAATCTTCTAATATACTACACATAGACTATGAATAAACATCAAATAAGCAAATGAAACCCATCATCAAAGTATATAAACGTAACATATCCCACAAAATTGTGCTAACGGGGGAACATATACTGAAAATGTACAGTATATAGACGTAACATATCCCACAAATTTTTTTTTTTCACCCTCTGCTCGTCAATGTCCTCTACGCTCATATTTTCTTCAACTTCGTCACTCCCGGTTGGATTGTCGTCTTCAACGATAAATCAGGGTCCTGTGTGGCGTCTTCTTCGGACAATTTGGGGTCTTCATGCAGTCACCTCCGTCGCCGAATCGCTATCTCTGGCTGTTGGAGGGCCAATGCGCTCCTCGGTTTGATGATAGCCAGTCGGGGCTTAAGGTCGCCTTACTCCGGCGGGACTTCCAATACATCGATTCGCCAACCCCGCACTCATCCAAGTCGTGGGTAACAACTTTTCGACCGATCATAAAAAAAATCATAGAAAAATTTTAACTGTAGGGGAAGAGAAAAAAAA